TTTTAATTAATTAATTAATTAATTGGTACAAGGTCTAGCTATACAGCTTGGACTCATAGTGATCCTCTTATCTCAGACTCCCCAGTGCTGTGTCACCACACCTGGTTTCAGTGGCTGGCATGGCATGCCTGGGGTTCTGAGCATGGCATGTGGTACTGGTGATCAAATCCAGGTCCTCATTCTTGCCATGCAGACACTTAGACTGCCAAGATAACTCCCCATCCCCAAAGGTGGCAAATTAATAGTTACCTTAGTTTGTCATTTTTGGGACTGTATTTAATGCTATTGTTATTGCTGATTGTGCCACTGATTGTGTCACAAAGTGACATAAGAGCTCTTTTGGATCCTCCTTTCCAAGATGACGAAAAAAAGAAAGAACAATGGTCTTGCCAAAAAGGGCCACGCTCATGTGCAGCCTATTTGCGGCACGAACTGCGCCTGGTGCGTACCCAAGGATAAGACCATTAAGAAGTTTGTCATTCAGAACATAGAGGAGGCCGCCGTCAGGGACATTTCCAAAGCGAGTGTCTTGGACGGTTATGTGCTTCTCAAGCTATATGTGAAGCTGCATTACTGTGTGAGTTGTGCCATTCACAGCAAAGTGGTCAGAAATCGATCTCATGAAGCCAGCAAGCATCGAACTCCTCCACCCCGATTTAGACCTGCTGGTGCTGCCCCACGACTTCCACCAAAGCCCATGTAAGGGGAGCTGGGTCTTAATGGACTGGAGAAAAATCTCTTGAGAAAGAAAGAATAAATTGAAAGTTATACTTTATACAGCATGTTGAGTATACTTGCCAGAGGTGGGTTGGGTTAATTCAACCTATCCAAGTTTAAGTTTGAACTCTGAAAATGAATAAAGAGGAACACACTGGAAGGGCTTTCAGAAAAAAAAAAAAAAAAAGTGACCTAAGATACATAACATATGCTCTAGAAACATACATTAGTGTGTCTACCATGACTTCTGTGGCTGATATTTTATATTATTTGTGCTATCTCTTGCTTTTTTTTTTTTGGTGGAACCAGGGATTGAACTCAGGCCCTTGCACTTGCCAGGCAAGTTCTTATTCTACTGAGCTATCTTCCCGGCCCTTCTCCGGTTTTTTTATTGACTGTTATCAATCTTATATTATTTTTATTTTTGTCTTCCTGTTGGATCTTGATCCTTAATCCATTCTGCCAGTCTGTGTCTTTTGATTAGTGAATTGAGATCTTTGATGTTATTGGTTATAACTGCAGTGTATTAATTTATCCTTATCATGTTATTTTCCTGTTGTTGGCTCCCCTTTTCCCCCTCTGTTTAAAAAAA